TGCCCCGTTAGGGCACATACATGAACCAACCAATGAGTGCATACATAAGTGGAACAACAAGTTCATATTTCGCTCTCTCCTTTCCTCTCTCTTTCTCTCAAAAAAAAAAAAATCAATGAAATGCTTTTTAACTTGACTTCCAGGAATTTGTTCTTTGTTCTGCTCCTGCTTTGCTAACTGCTCTTACTCAGTTTTCTGCAGGTTCCTCCTCATTTCCCTGACCTCTGTACCCTGGGAATGCCCCAGGGCTTAGGCCTCTGGCCTCCTCATCTACATTCATTTTCTAGGTTATCTCTCTAGTCTCCTGGCTTCAAATAACATTAATATTCTGCCCTGGCTGGTGTTGCTCAGTGGACTGAACATGCCCTGTGGACCGAAAGGTTGCTGGTTTGATTCCCAATCAGGTCATGTGCCTGGGTTGTGGCCCAGGGTCCCAGTTGGGGGGCTTGCAAGAAGCAACTGATCTATGTTTCTCTCACTCTCCTTCTCCTTCCTTTCCTCTCTAAAATAAATAAATAAATAAAATCTTTAAAAAAATAACATTGATATTCTGATGGCTCCTAAATTCGTATTTCCAGGCTGTACCTTTCTCCTAATCATCAGTCATATCCAATCACCTCACATCTCTACTTGATATTTCATAAGCATTTCAGATTTCACAAAAATAAAACAAAACTCCCAATTTCCCCTCTGAAATCTGCGCTGCTCCTCCAGCTGACTCCCAGCTTAATCAAAACCTTGTGAGTCATTCTTAACTCCTATCTTTCTCATACTCTATATCCAATTCATAACATATCCCTTCAGCTCTTTCAAAATAATTCCAGAATATACCTTACCTCCTCCAATGTCCAGTGTACAAGTCACCAAAACCATTGCCTGATTTACTGCAAAAATCTCTCAATTTCCCTCCTTGCCTCTCCTTTCCCTACTCCCACCTTGATGTACACGTAGCAGCCAGAACTGTTTTGGAAAGACAAGTCTGGTCATATTTCTCTCCTCTGCTCCACACCCATCAAATGGCTTTTTATATTACTCAGAATAGGAGTCAATGCCTTTATTTTTAAAAAAGATTTTATTTATTTATTCTTAGAGGGAGGGGAAGGGAAGTAGAGAGAGAGGGGGGGGGAGAGAGAGAGAAACACCAGTGTAAGAGAAAAACATCTACTCGTTGCCTCTTGCATGCACCCCGACCATGGACCAAATCTGCAACCTACCATGTGCCGTGACTGGGAATCAAACTTCCAACCTTTTGGTCTACAGGACAATGCTCCAACCAACTGAGATTTTAAAAATTGTGCTATATCCATACTATGGAATTCTATTTATCAATATAAAGGAAAAAACTCTGATACACACAACTTGGATGAATTTCAAAAGCATTATGCTGAGCCCTAGCTGGTGTAGCTCAGTGGATGTAGTGCTGGCTTGCAAACCAAAGGGTTGCAGGTTCCATTCCCAGTCAGGGTATTTGCCTGGGTTGCAGGCCAGGCCCCCAATTTGGGGCATGCAAGAGGCAATCACCCATTGATTTTTCTCTCCCTCTCTTTCTCCTTCCCTTTCCCTCTCTCTAAAGATAAATAAAATCTTTTTTAAAAAGTCTTATGCTGAGTGAAAGAGTACATACTGTCTCATTCTATTTGTATGAAACTCTAAAAAGGACCAATTTAATCTACAGTGATAGCCAATCAGTGGTTGGCTGAGGTGGGAAGTGATTGGCATGGGGCATAAAAGAACCTTTTGGGGGGTGATGGAAATGTTCCATATATTGATTGTGGTGGTGATTACAAGGTTGTATACATTTGGGTTTTTTCACTTTCAAAGTTTAATTTAATTGCTGTATTTTTTATTTCCCCAACTTGTTACTTTGAAATTTTTGAAATATATATATATATATATTTCCAGGAGTGAGCATGAACGCAGTCCTCCACTACCACAAATGATGCAGTCGAGCTTCCCAGATCTGGGGAAATCGCAGGAGTCAGCACATCCGGAGTGCAATGGATAAGCCTTGCCCTGGGAAAACCATCTTCGTGACCATGGTATCGCCCCTGCCAGGTGAGTATATATTTTTATTTTGATTGTATTTTTTCATTCCCATTTAGTCCCCTTAAGGTTGTATACATCTGTTAAAACTCACTGAACTGTACCCTTAAAATAGGTATATTGAAGTGGAACAGAACATGCCACCCCAAAATGTGCCGTTTTGGCAAGTGGATTATTTTGAGCTGAAGCCAATCAAGAAGCAGCAGACTCAAGAAGAACTTTTACCTCTCCCTTTACTGCCTAAAAGAATTTAGACAGGGAACCTGTACCAGACAGAGAGCTATTTCCAGAGATAACTTTTTAAAAAAGATTTTACTTATTATTCTAGAGAGAGGGGAATAGAGGGCAAAAGAGAGGGCGAGAAACGTCAATGTAAGGGAGAAACATCAGTAGGTTGCCTCTTGCAGGGCGCCCCGACCTGGGGCCCAACCCCACAACCCTGGCATACGTCCTGATGAAATCACACCAGAGACCCTTTGCTTTGAGGGGTAATACCCAACCAACAGAGCCACACCAGTCAGGGTGGAACCAAGCCCTTTAAAAGCCCTTGCAAGATCTGCCTGCATCTCATACCTCTGTGATCTCCCCTACTCATGCTGCACTGACACACTTACTGTTCATTCTGCCCAGAATGCTCTTCCTCCAAATTTCCATACGGCTCATTCCGTCATTTGCTTCAGATCTCTGCTCAAGTGTCCTTATCACAGCAGCTTCTCTGCCCACCCCAAATAAAATAGCAACATCTATCCCTATCTGGCCCTTTTTGTCTCCTAATCCATTTTATCTCCATAGTGTGTGTGTTTATGTGTGTGTATCACCTTTTTAAAGAAAGTTTTCTGTTCTTCTTTTAAAGATTTCCAATTTATTTTTAGAGAGAGGGGAAGGGAGGGAGAAAAAGAGGGAGAGAAACATCGATATGTGATAGAAACTTAGATCGGTTGCCTCTTGCATACCCCTAACCAGGGCCTGCCCAAAACACAGGCATGTGCCCTGACCAGGAATTGAACCAGGCGACCTTTCAGTTCGCAGGAGGACACCCAACCCACTGAGCCACACCAGTCAGAGCTCACCTTTCTCTTTCAATAGGAGTTAAGAATGACTCAAATGGGTAAGGATAGGTGCATTCTCCCTCCCTTTCTCCTCTTCTTCCCCAACACGTGTGCATCTTCTAAATTCTAAGGGTCCCCACTAGACTTGCAACCAGTGGAGCAATGGACAGTGGCAGCTAACCCTGGGTTAGCCCTCTAAACCTGTCTCTGAGGCCCCCTTTCCCCTGACTTTTCAGCGAGCCAAAGCAGCCCCACCATGGCTATTTCCTGTTGCTTCTTCTATCCGAAACCCTTCTTTCCTTCACTGTCACCGGCTTTAATAAACATACTCTCAAAATTTAAAAAAAGGATAAGGATATTGTTCTGCTTAATGTTCTATTCCCAACACTTAGTACAATATGCCTGGTATGTTGTAGGCATTCAATGCATGTTGAAAATTGAATTAATTAATTAATGGTCAATGATTAGTTGTTAAATGAATTCACAGGGAAATCAGGATCCTACTTTTCAAAACATGAGGGTGAAACAAAAAATTCCTCAGTCCACAAACAATAAATTCTCCAGGATGCATTAGAGAAAGGAGATTAATCCATCGAGTCACACCTACAAAAGGTGAAATGTTTCAAGAAGGAGCTCTAATATTAAAATTGGCCCAATTGGGTCTGAGCACAGTCATGTTTATCTTCAAGATTCACGTAGATACATAACAACTCATTCCCACAAATCTGGAATGCCTAAATATTCATCCAAGTTTGCATTTCTTAAACAAGGTCATTGGAACTTGGTCCTTTTTGATCCTGATACCCTTCCTCATAACAACTTTGTATGATAGGAATGTGCATCATTTCTCATTCCCTGGTGACTGTCCTAGTAATATATAGCATTAAGTAAATAATCAGGCCACTGGTTTGAAAAGCAAACTAAAAAGAATTTAAAGACTTATGAGCCCATTTAATTCAAATAAAATGTTAACCCTATTTTTTGCTCCAGGGGCAAAAATGGTGAGGTAAAACATTCACTGCAGAGGTTAGGGAGGGGCATTATCTCTGTAACCAGATCACACTGAGTAGACCTGAGATCCCTGAGGGTCCCCATGACCCTCTCAATGGGTTTGAAGCCAGAACTATTTTCATAATACTAAGACATTATTGGCCTTAAATTTTTTTATTTATTTACTTTTAGAGAGAGGTGAAGGAAGAGAGAGAGGGAGAAAAACATCGCTGTTGATCAGTTGGCTCTCACATGCATCCCAATCAGGGACCATGCCTGCAACCCAGGCATGTGCCCTAACTGGGAATCAGACCGGAGACCTTTTGCTTTCTGGGATGATGCTCAACCAACTGAGCCATGCCAGTCAGGGCATTTGTCTTTAAAATTATTGTTTTGGGGAGATGAGGGTATAAAGGGACTAAATGGTAATGAAAAAATATAATAAAGATTATATATTAAAATTTTTTAAATTTATTTTTAGAGAGGTGGAAGGGAGGGAGGAAGAGAGGGAGAGAAACATAGATGTGAGAGAGAAACATCCATCGGTTGTCTCTTGCACGCACCCCAACCAGGGGACCGAACCCACTACACACACTTGTGCCGTGATTGGGAATCAAACCTGCGACCTTTCGCTTTGTGGGATGACATCCAACCAACTGAGCCACACTGGTCAAGGCCATTGTTTACCTTTTCCACATTCATTTTCTCACAAGTCTGTAGTAGAATTTCACAGAGGCTACATGATAAGTGATAACTCAAGAGACTGAATGCAGGAGCAGATATGATAATCTAGCTGTTTTCTATCAAGTCAAACAATAAAGAGACGTGCAGAAATGTAAAACAATGCTATTCTTCTAATTTTTGTTTTGGAAAATATCCCTTTTTATTGTAAAATGTTATCTATGTTAACATGTGACAAAATATGACAATTCTAGGAATGGAGATTTAGGAGGAGCTCTAAACCCATCTTCCTCTGCCCATCGTGCAAGGCTGCTTGTTTTCACTGATAAGATGGAACTGGGGAGAGAGGGATAGGAAAAAGGCACATTAAAATTTCACAAAGCAGCCTTGGGTCATGTGGCTCAGTGCATTGAGTGTCAACCTGTGAACCAAAAGGTTGCTGGTTCAATCCCCAGTCAGGTCATATACCTGGGTCTAGGCCAGATCCCCAGTTGGGGGCCTTGTGAGAAGTAACTGATATCTCTCACACACTGATGTTTCTCTCCCTCTTTTTCTCCCTCCCCTCCTCTCTCTCTCTGAAAGTATATAAATAAAATCTTTATTAAAAAATAACACTTTTATTGAGATATAATTCACATACTACATAATTCAGCATTTAAAGTATAGAATTAAATGGTTTTTAAAGTATACTTACAGCTGGTGTATCTCTCCACACCATGCCCCTCTCCTTTCTTGGAGAGTGAATAAAAACTTTACTCTGTACAAAAAATAAATAAATAAAAATAAAGTATACTTACAGAGGTATGCAACCATCACAATCTAAAACATTTTCATCACCATCAAAAGAAACCTCATACCCCTTATCAGTCATTGCCCTTTTCATTCTCCTCTGCCCCAGGGAATCATTAATCTACTTCAAAATCACTGGGTTTGCCTATTCTGAACATTTCATACAAATGGAATTATACAATATGCAGGTGGTCCTTTGTGACTGGCTTCTTTCATTTATCATAGTATTTTCTTTTTTTAAGATTTTATTTATTTACTTTTAGAGAGAAGGGAGGGAGTGAGAGAGGGAGAGAAACATGCAAGAGGTACATCAATCGGCTGCCTCTCACACATCCCCAACTGGGGACCTGGCCCACAACCCAGACATGTGCCCTGACTGGGAATCGAACTGGTGACCTTTCAATTTGCAGGTTGGCACTCAATCCACTGAGCCACACCACCCAGGGCAATCATACTATTTTTAAGATTTTTCCATGTTGTAGTACATACCTCCTGCTTCTTTTTTGACTAGGCACTTTTGTTTGGATAACATTGTAAATGTTACCTTTTTAGGCATTGGGATTTTATTATTACTATTCCTATAAATCTTCCTGACCTTTGTACTGAGATAGTTAAGTTACTTGGAAGCAGTTTGGTGTTTCAGGGTCTTCTTTTTATCATTTGTAAAGTGGGCCTGGAACAGTACAGTAAGTCATCACTTAACATCGATAGATTCTGCAACTTTAAGAAAAATGATGTAAACCAAACCACTCTTACCACAGGATAATTGTTATAAACAAGAGTTAAGTTCCTACAGCATCTCATCGTTATAACAAAATGACATTGAACAAAACGATGTTAATTGAAGACTTGTACTAAGTCCAAGGCTAATTATTCTCCAGGACTGAGCTTTCCTGCATATTCTATACCTTGTGAATCATGAGTTTTTCCAGTCTGGTTGGTAGCAGACTGGAGCAGGTAAGATTCTCTGCTGTGTGCTAGGCCCCATTCCCTCTAAAACATTTGGATGGTTCTTTCTCTGCCCGTGGGTCATTTCCTCATATGAATGCACCGATCAGTACTCTGCTGAACACTCAAGGGGACCCTCTACAGATCTCTGTGGTTCCCTCTCTGTGCAGCTTTTTCCTGATATTGTCTTTTGAATTCCAGGCGCCCTTGTCTCTCTGGACTACCTCAACTTAGGGAGGCCATCAGGCTGAGCCTGTCTCCCCTTCCTTCCCCCTCCCCAGACCTATGCAGACAATAATCTACTTTCTGTCTCTATAGACTTGCCAATTCTGGACCTCTCATATAAATGGAATCATAGTATAATATACAAGTGGTTCTTTGTGAATGGCTTCTTTCATTTAGCATTTTCAAGTTTCTATCAGGTATGTACCTCCTGCTTTTTGCTCTGCCTGGCCATCTTTGTTTGGATAACAGATATTGCAAATGCTACCTTTTAGGTGTTGGGATGATGGATGAAAATTATTATTCTATCTTTCTTACCTTTGTACTGAGATAGTTACTTAGAAACAGTTTGATCTTTCAGGGTCTTCCTTTCATGATTTAAGTGGGTCTGAAGCAGTACTTAGTCTAGGGCTAATTATTCCCACCATTGCCATAGTATGGAAACTCCTGTGCCGGGGCAATTGTAGGGCTCATCTTGTTTCCTATTTCCCAGAGATCACTGTCGTTCATTGTCTGATGCTTATGCTTTGAAATCCATTGTTTCATGTATTTTTGTATATCGGGGGGGCAGTCGGTCATTTCATGTGAGAGGGCAAATTTGATCCCCATTACTCCATCTTGACTAAAAGTACATGACAGAGGGGTTGTATTTATAACACCTCTTGACAGTGGGACCAACACAATTTGCCAATGACCGCAGAGAAGAACCAAGCATGATGTATCTGCTCTTTGATTTGAGTGACAAACTGGATGTTGTGGTGCCATTGGTTGAGATGACAGAGACAGAAAGTTGTTTGAGCCAGAAAAATTCCAGAGATCTATTTGGATGGGTTAAGTTTGAGATGCCTTGTGAGACCCCCAGGTGAACATGTCAGGCCATAGCATATATGAGTCTGGTGTTCAGGGAAGGTCTGAGACAGAGGCCTAAAGTAGTGAATCTTTATTGCAATAATTAAGACAAGATGAAGTCACTTAGGGTGATGCTATTGGCTACAAAAGTAAGGGGGTTGCCCCCGTCAGTGTGGCTCAGTTGATTAGGTGTTGTCCCGCAAACCAAAAGATTGCCCGTTCGATTCCAGGTCAGGGCACACGCCTGGGTTGCTGGTTTGGTCCCCAGTCAGTCAGGGTGCATATAGAAGACAGCCAATCAATGTTTCTCTCTCACTTCGATGTTTCTCTCCCTCTCCTTCTCTCTCCCTTCCCCTCTCTCTAAAATAAAATTTAATTGTTTTAAAAAAATTAATTAAGAAAAAAGTAAGGGGCCAGGGTCATACCCAAGGATACTCCAACATTTGGAAATTGGACAAAGATGGAAGATTAGCCAGAGATGTAGGAGAAAACGAAGAGTGAGAGCAAAAAACTGGAATGTGCTTGGCAGTCACAGGAGAAGGTAGAGACATAAATGCTGCTTTAGCAAGATTATTATTCATTGGTGACTTGGTTGAGCAGTCTCAGAAATATGGGAGTGACAGAAGCCAAAATGAATTAATATGACCTGGGACATGAGGGGGAAAAAAAGCCCTGGCTGGTGTGGCTCAGTGGATCGAATGCCAGCCTGCAAACTTTAAGATTACTGGTTCAATTCCCAGTTAGGGCACATGCCTGGGTTGCAAACCAGGTTCCCAGTTGGGGATGTGTGAGAGGCAACCAATCAATGTTTCTCTCCCTTTCTTTCTTCCTCCCTTCCTCTCCCTCTAAAAATAAATTAAAATCTTTTTCTTAAAAAAAATGTAGCACAAAGAATGCCAGAAGAGCTTTGCTGAGGAGCATAGCAATGGAGTCACTCCATGGATGTCAACAACACAGTACATGAAATAACCTAGAGAGATGGTCATCAGTAGAGGAACAGCTGAATAATGCTACATTTATTCCACAGAATATCATAAAGTCAGTTTAGATGGATAAATTAAACAGATGTCCACAATATAATAGTATTTTTAAAACAATACTTGGAAAAAGGTGAAGAATGGGTGTATTATATCAATGCCAATATCCTGAATAATATTTTAGTACAGTTTTACAACATGTTGCCTTTGGGGGAAACTGTTGAAGTACATGGGATTTCTCTGTATTATTTCTCAAAACTACATGTGAATCCACACTTAACTCAATATTTAAAAGTTGAATTAAAAAGTTCCATTATGTAGTTAGGATCTTTTTTTCCCCACAGTAAACACACCTCTTGCCATCAAAACACCATTTTCACCTGGCCAGGTAGCTCAGTTGGTGGTCCAGATATGCCAAGGTTGTGGGTTCAGTCTCTGGACAGGGCACGTACAAGAATCAACCAATGATTGTCTACATAGGTGGAACAACAAATCGATGTTAATCTCTCCCTTCCTCTCTCTTTCTCTAAAATCAATCAATTAAAAAAAAAAAAAGCCCTGGCTGGTGTGGCTCAGTGGACTGAGCGCCATCCTGCAAACTTAAGTGTCACCAGTTTAATTCCCGGTCAGGGTACATGCCTGGGTTGAGGGCCAGGTCCCCATAGATGTTATCTTTCCTCTTTCTTCCTCCCTTCCCCTTTCTCTAAAAATAAATAAATAAAATCTTCAAAAAATAAAGTTTAAAAGGAAGGAGGGAGGGGGGTAATGGGGAAAAGAAGGGAAAAGGTCAAGTCAAGGAACATGTATAAAGGACCCATGGACAAAGCCAAAGTGGGGAAGGATTGAGGGTGGGAGGTGGGGGTGGGTGGGACAGGGCAAAGTGGCGGAGGAAAAATGGAGACAAATGTATTTGAACAATAATATATATAAAATAATTAAATTACTTAAAAAATAAAAACACCATCTTCGTTTTGTAAATAAAACAAAGAGCTGGGTGAGGGAATCCCATCCCAGGTTTCTCAGAGACAAGGGTGGACGGCCTCACTTTCCAAAGTCTCCAGGACCGCCCCCGCCAGGAGGTTTCCCAGTCCTCTCTCTAAGGGTGGGGGAGAACTACGTATTAACAAGGCGCGGCCACTGTAGCCCACCTCAGAGGTCCAAGTCTCGCTGGCCCAGGAAGCTGACTCCATTAAGCCTTCCAAGCAGGACCGAGGAAATCCTCGGCCCTTTCTCGTTTAGCAAAGGGAAGCTCTCGCACAATCCTCTTCCTTCCCCTCAGACTCTCATGGCCACGGCCTTGCCAAGCCTCCTCCGCTCTCCGCGCCCTCCTAGGAGAACGCCGTTTTCACTTTCTTTGCTCCAAATCCCCAAAACTTGGACCACTGAGGCTGCGATCTCATCTTCCAGGCAGCACGACTCATTTCCGGTGACAGACTCCCTCCCCCGGAAGTGAGACCTGATGTAAACACGGGAACCGGGTGTCAAGGCCCTGGAGGTCAGAAAGCCGGGCCGCGGGCGGCGCCGAGAGCTGTTCTTGGGATCGGGACGCGCGGAGGTCAGGTCAGTACAGGCGGCGCGGAGCTGGGACATAATCTCAGAATTGATCGGGGCTCGGGGGTAGGCTGGGCGCCTTTTGAGCAGGGGTCTTGGCGGATGAGGGGATCTAGAACAGGGATCTTGAGTGGGCGCTCATGTTGGAAGGAGTATGAGTGCTGTCGTGGACATGAAGAAATGCTGGGGACTAGGGGCTTTGTGTGAGACATCCCAGGGCAGGGTTCATGGGTGGCGCGGATCTTTGAACAGGAGTCCAAATAAGGGGATCTTGGAAGATGGGGCTATCAAAATAATGGAGCTTTGGGGAATAAGGTGGTCTGGGGGAGGTAGTACATGGGAAAAGGTAGGAGGCTGGGGTCTTGGGGCATAGAGAGGGGTATGCCTGGGAAAAGGTCTTGGTGAGATCCGAGATTGTAGGGAGCATGGGGGTCTAGGACAGAAATCTTAAGGAGGTCTGGGACAGGAGTCTGGGAGGTTGAGTTATCTCAGGTAGGGATTTCGGGAGGTGTGTGTCCTGGACGATGGTCTTAAAGGGTAGCAGTGTCCTGGGATAGGATCGAGGAGAGAGGAGAGAGGGTCTGGAGGAGGAATCTGTCAACATAAGAAACATCCAGACCTGTTGAGAATTTTTATGAGTTTATTTGAGCCGGAACTGACAACCGTTGTCAGGGAACAAGATCTCAAATGCTTTGGACAATAACAGTTTGCTGTTTCTTTCATGCATTAGAGATTAAGGTGAGACCATAAGGAAGATTACATGAAGGTGGAAGAAAGCTAGGTGGGGATCAGATCAGAAAGAGGGGTCTGAAAGATGGCATTTCATATGTGTGTTAACCTAGATTCAAAAAACAATGGACAGGGCTTGCTTAAGGCAAAAATAAGCCTTTTTCTAAGAAGTTATATGCCTGGAGGGTGACTACACACCATGACCTGCCCAGTTAGGAATTTATAATCAGATCACCTTGTGAGGTTAACTTTCTGTAGAATCCTTTTTTCTTGTTCACAGATCTTAGGGGGGACAGGATTTCTGGGGGTAGGTCCAAGTCAGCCTATTTTGGACTTGGGGACAGCAGAGGATGTTGAAGAGGATGTCCCCAGGGTAGGGGATTTGGAGTGATGGGAGATTCTGAGGTAGGGTCTTTAGGGCGTAAAGGGACCTGGGAAAACATCCAGGGTGGTCCTGGCTGGGCAGAAGTTAGCCCATCTCGAGGTAGTCAAGGGATCCTGAAAGGGTTTGGGGAAACCTGTGAGGAGGGAAGGTGTGAGAGCATTCTAGGGTGGTAAAATAAGTTGGAGGGTTCAGAAGGGCATGAGGAGGGGAGTTCCTGTGGGGGGTGGACCAGCCATAGCCACTCTTAGGGCCAGGTCATGCAGGTGCAGGAAGAGGTGGATGTCCTAGTCCCCTTTCCCCATTTGTTGACCGGTAGAGTTGGGTGCTAGATTCAAGTGTGAAGATGAGAAATGGGAGGGGGTGATTCCAGGCCATGTTGGGCATTGGGGCCAGGATTAACTAGGAGTGGGGAGGAGATGTCACTGGGTCATTTACTTTCTTTTTAGTTTCTGACAAGCAGTTGGTGAGGGCTGGGGAGTAAGGAGGAGGAGTGGGGTCCAGGTAAGGGTAGCCTTGGAGGTGCGGTCAACCAAATGTGAAAAGATAGGAAGGTTTCTGGCCATGCTGTTTGGGGTTTTGGGAGCTTACAGTGAAGACCCTGGGACTCTTCCCCCTGTTTTTTGTCTTCTTTGCAGTCCTGCTGGGTTAGTAGTAGAATGGGAGGTGAAAGAAGAAATCAATTAGGGACAGGAGTTCTAGGACTTGAAAGGCAGACAGACACCAGGACTCCTTCCAACCTTACCCCCATTTGTATCCAGGGAAGCAATCCTGGATCATGACTCAGCAACCACTTCGAGGAGTGACCAGCCTGCGTTTCAACCAAGACCAAAGTGAGAGAGACTTGTGCCTATACCCTTGTGGGAAGGAGGGAGGAAGGGATAGAAGGATCAGAGGTGGTTGTTAAGCAGCCCTAGCTTCCCTGGGCATCCTTTGAGGCAGCCTGGATTCCTTCCATTCCCTAGGCTGCTTTTGCTGCGCCATGGAGACAGGCGTGCGCATCTACAACGTGGAACCCTTGATGGAGAAGGGGCATCTGGGTGAGCCATCGGTGGGAGTGAGGCAGTGGGCATAAGGGACGAAGGGACGGGCTGGGCATTGGCTCCCACCCCTGCTGACACCCTGGTCCTTGTCCAGACCATGAGCAGGTGGGCAGCATGGGCCTGGTGGAAATGCTGCACCGCTCCAACCTGCTGGCCCTGGTGGGCGGTGGTAGCAGCCCCAAGTTCTCAGAGATCTCAGGTAAGTGCCCTCATCTCATCCCACCCTTGGCCCAGATTCCCTGGAATCCTAGCCTCCCCCAGGCACCCCAAGGCACTGGCAGCTGGAGATGTCAGAGCACTTAGAGTCACATAGTGAAGCCTACAACTTGAAAGTCATGGATCTTGTAGCTTAAGAAGCTTGGTATTTTGTCTTCATTTAACAAACATTAATTGAATGTCTCCTGTACACCATGTCTTTACCTAAAAGGTGCTTGCTGTGAGCCTGATACTGGTCTAAATACTGCACGTGTATTAACTCATTTAACCCTCACAGTAACTCTGTGGTAGGAGGTATCATTATCCCCATTTCTACGGGTGAAGAAACTGAGGCCCAGAGAGATTGAGCAACCTATCTAAGGTCATACAACTAATTGGTTTTAACATCTTCGAGCTGTCTCCTCAATGCCCACTTGCCTTGACCCTCAAGGGTCAGCTTGTTTTAAGGGTTTTTTTTTTTTAATCCTATTGGGACATGACAAGAGACTTGCCCTAGGCAAGTAACAGAGCCCAGTATTTCTCACAGAAATATTGAGAGTACAGGGACCAGGACCTTGGAGGCAGAAATAGTTAGTGACAGGAAGTTACAGGCCTAGGTACGAGTCCCTGATTGCTTGCTGATGGGCTGTGAGGTCCTTGGCCAAATATTCAATCCCTTCAAGCCTCAGTTTCCTCACTTGTAAATCAGTACAACAGTTCTAGAACCTGTTCTCTCAGGAATAATGCCTACAAGTTCTCATGCTGTGTGAGGCTCACATTGGGTATTAGCAAAAGGTAAAACAAGTGGGTTGAGGTCCTGTGGGGAGTAGGGGTGGGTCTTGTGTCACCAGGGCTGCCCATCACCTTAAACCTTGGCCCCAACAATGCATCCACCTGCCCAGCAGTGCTGATCTGGGATGATGCCCGGGAGGGCAAGGACTCCAAGGACAAGCTGGTGCTGGAGTTCACCTTCACCAAGCCAGTGCTGGCTGTGCGCATGCGCCATGACAAGTGAGCTTGAGAAGGACTGGGGGTCGGGGGGAGGTAGGAGGTCCCTACAGCAGGCAAGAGGGTTAGTCCTGCCTGGACATTCTGCCCTCCCCTCATAACTGTCCTGTGTTGTGTGATGCCCGCAGAATCGTGATTGTGCTGAGGAACCGCATCTACGTGTACTCCTTCCCTGACAATCCCCGAAAGCTGTTTGAGTTCGACACCCGGGACAACCCAAAGGGTGAGAGGACCTAGATATGCAGGAGTAGGAGCAGGAGGCAGTAGACGGAGTGGAAGGGAGAAAGTCAAGAGCAAATGGAAGGGCCACACAGAGAGAGAAATGGGAAAAGAGAGTCACAGTGAGAGTCTTTGCACAGAGATGCTCAGATGGCCTGAGATGCTCATATCCTCCACCTATCCATCTCTCCATCCCTTAGCCAGTTCACTCTCCCCACCTTTATCCTTGCTCCACCCTTTGATGCCCCAGATATCAGAGCAAAAATACATAGTAAGCACATGGGTGGGTGTGTCAGGGATCCCTGGGCCTCCTGGGGCAGCCACAGCTTTGCAGGGAAGAAGGGACTATGCCTTGCTGGTGGAGAGCACAGCTGAGGGCAGCACCCTGAGCGTTCTGTGGGCAACATGTGTCATGGAAGGTCAAAGTCCAGCTCTGTCCGTTCTGAGACCCTGCCTGGCCCCTGCCTCCCCTTCACCAGTCCCCCCTCCACTTCACCCCTGCACCCTAGGGCTTTGTGACCTTTGTCCCAGCCTGGAGAAACAACTGCTAGTGTTCCCAGGACACAAGTGTGGGAGTCTGCAACTTGTGGTAAGTTTTCCAGTGGGCATGGGTGGGTAAGTGGGTGGGCTAGTTCTCCCTGTGGACAATGAGACCCTGCCATCCGTACTACCCCAAGCCCAGACTGCTCCTTCCCACCATAGGACCTGGCAAGCACAAAGCCTGGCACTTCATCTGCTCCATTTACCATCAATGCACATCAGAGTGACGTGGCCTGTGTGTCCCTAAACCAGCCAGGCACCGTAGTGGCCTCAGCTTCCCAGAAGGGCACCCTTATTCGCCTTTTTGACACACAGTCCAAGGAGAAACTTGTGGAACTGCGCCGAGGCACTGACCCTGCCACCCTCTACTGGTGAGCACAGGGTATGCATGGTGGGCCAGCAACTCCACGCTATGACATGTGGGAATCATTGCTGGTCTGTCTTCCAGTATCAACTTCAGCCATGACTCCTCCTTCCTGTGCGCTTCCAGTGATAAGGGCACGGTCCATATCTTTGCTCTCAAGGATACCCGTCTCAACCGCCGCTCTGCGTGAGTACCCCCATCCCCTGCCCAACCTTGCATGTCCCCATCCCCCCGCCCATGTACCACACCTGGGCTTAGTTAGTGCTGCCTGCAGGCTGGCTCGTGTGGGCAAGGTTGGGCCTATGATTGGACAGTACGTGGACTCTCAGTGGAGCCTGGCGAGCTTCACTGTGCCTGCTGAGTCAGCCTGTATCTGCGCCTTCGGTCGCAACACTTCCAAGAATGTCAACTCTGTCATTGGTGAGTGGGACTAACCCTTGACTTGGGGGTATTGCATGGGCAAAGGCCTGCAGGTTGGACCTGAAGAATTTTAGGGAATAGGAAGCCTAAAGAAGCTAGAATGGGTGGTTCAACTCTGTTATCACTGAGGGGAATGGCATGCGGGTAAAGGCCTGGAAGGCGACTGTAGGCCATGGGACACCTGGATTAAAATATGTGGCTTTGGCAGCCTCTAACGTTTTACTGATCTTCCCCCTCCCCTCCAGCCATCTGTGTAGATGGGACCTTCCACAAATATGTCTTCACTCCTGATGGAAACTGCAACAGAGAGGCTTTCGATGTGTACCTTGACATCTGTGATGATGATGACTTTTAAGGACCCTGTGTGGGTTGCGCTAGGGACCTGCAGTGGCAGGGTGCAAAGCATTTATGGGGGTGGGAGTGCTGGAAGCCACCAGCCAGCAAGCACTAATGGGGCAGGTGCCTACTTTCCACTCCACAGAGCAATGCCTAAACAGCTCATTTCCCCCAAGGATTTATTGATGATTGTGTCCTTAAGGACTGTGTGCCCACAGGGCCAGGCCAGGGACCCAGAGAAGCAGCAGATACCCTGGGCTCCCAACCTGGAAAAGAGTAGGGACCCAGAGGGAGTGCCCTAATCTAACCTGTGGGGATTAAAAAAAAACTTCCTAGAAAGAGCCAATTTCTGATATGATGAATATGAATAAAAAGCCCTTAATAGTATTTATGGCTGGACCTCGGGGGTGGGGCCTGGAGGAGATGAGGCTGAAAAGGCACTGCAGGAGTTTCCAGGAAAGGTGTGACCCTCTTGGACAGGAAGGAGGTGGGATCGTGCTCCGGTCCTTCTGAGAGTCCCGGCCGTCAGCTCTGCCACGTCCGCGTGCCTGGCTACTGTTAATTGCGCCGCCTGCGCCGCCCGCGCCGCCCGGAACCGTCCCCCTTGGCGCCCCCGTCTGGGAGCGCATAGGAACTGACTGCGGATAGTTTCCCTGCAGCCCCTCTGCCTTACAGTTCTGGAATTTGCATTTCTGGTCACGTGCTTTGCTGCGCCTGCGCTATCCACCTGGGTGGATAGGGCAGCAGTCGCCCCGCCCAGACTCCATTTCCCAATGTCCGCTGCGGTAGCGCGGAGAGTAACGGGCGTTGTAGTCCGGCTGCTCTTCTGGCTGGTCCAGCTACATCGACTCGCAGGATGTCGGAGGTGCGGCTGCCACCGCTACGCGCCCTGGATGACTTCATTCTGGGGTCGGCGCGTCTGGCGGCCCCGGATCCATGCGACCTGCAGCGATGGTGCCATCGCGTCATCAACAACCTCCTCTACTATCAAGCCAACTACCTTGTCTGCTTCGGCTTCGGTCTTGCTCTGGCTGGGTGAGGGAGGGAGGTGCCAGCGGCCGGGGACGCCTGCAGGGTATAGAGGGTGGGCCCGCGGGATTCGTAGAGCCGGGGAGGGTGATCTGGGGAGGGGAGGCCGCAAGGCGTGGGAAGGAAAATTCAGTAGAGGTGGAAAGCCTAAGGTGCTTGGGAGTGGGGGGACTCGAAGTGAATGGGACCTAGTTATAAGGAAGGCCTGGAGCTGAATACAGACTGGCTGAGGGGGGCACAAGGGCGTTAGTGGGACTGGAAGGAAGAGCCGGGGAAGATGGAGAATGTGGAACTGAAGGGGAAACAGCGGGGAGGTGGACCTGAAAATAGGGAGAGCTTTAAAGTGGAACGTGTGTCTGGGGGTGGTGGGGCGATGTGACTGATGGGGCCACGTTAAGGGGGCCCTGGAGGCCTTAGGACAGGGACCGGGACGCCGCTGTGGTCGAGTTGAAGGTTCGGAGGGTGGACTTGCGGAGGATCTGGGTTTGAAGGGGTCTGTTTGTGACTGGAGTGCAGTAGGAGCAGGTACCTTTTGGGGAACTTGAGCCAAAGGGAAAGACCCAGAGATAGAAGGCCTGAGACCTGAGAGGAATGGAGAACTCTGAGAAGGGTCTTGGGTGGGGTAGTAAGTTAAGAGGAGGATCTAAAGCCTGGAAGGGGGTCCTGTTAGGACCCTGGGCCTGGAGAGAGGGAAATGTGTTGACACAGAAGGCCTGGAAAAAGAATCTGCAAGGGTTGGTTGGGCTCAAAGGGTGGGTTTGTGGATAGGGTGGGGTACTAGAGAGGGGCCCTGCAGGGTAGAGTCCGAAGGAAAGACGGGGGAAGGAGCCTATCGAGATGGGAGGGGCTGAAGCTCGAGAAGATGGGGCTCTAGGATTGAAAAGAAGGGAGTCGGAAACCCTGGAGGGTGGACCTGTTGGAAATAGGGCTGGCGGGAGGACCGGAGAATGGAGACCTAAGCTCTTAGGGCTTGCATGGCGGTCTGGGGGGCTTGGAGGCCGGACGGCTCTCTCCACGACTGATCTACTGGCTTAGTTCTATTGTCCCCACAGGTACGTGCGCCCGCTGCACACCCTCCTAAGCGCACTGGTAGTGGCGGTGGCCCTCGGGGTGCTGGTGTGGGCGGCTGAGAGTCGCGCAGCCGTGCGCCGCTGCCGCCGCAGTCACCCGGCCGCCTGCCTGGCTGCAGTGCTTGCCGTTGGCCTCCTGGTTCTCTGGGCTGCAGGCGGCGCTTGCACCTTCCTGTTCAGCATTGCCGGGCCTGTGCTTTGTGAGTCTCCACTACCCTGAGATAGCTGGGAACAAGGCCAGCGCTTGGCGCCAGGCCGGCCCTGCCCTGGTTCCTGGGCGGAAAGGGGGCTGGGAGGACCCGGTGGGTGTGGCCACACCCCTTTACAAAGCACCTTCCCTGGCTTTGCTCCGTGTTTGGGAACCCCCTCCTTAATACTGCCTTTCTGGCCCTCTCTCCTGGTATTAAGTTCCTTCTGCCAGCCACGTCCCCCTTACTGTGCGCCCTCCCTGGCCACGCCCTTGTTGCAAAGCGTTACTCCGCTACAGCTTCAGGACCAGAGGTGTCCTGTTCACTGACCACTGGCCTGCCTGTGCTGTTCCCCTCTGTGGGCCGCCATTGGTTAAAGGCTGGTGTCCCATTCCACTGACCACTGACCACTCCTTTCGGTATTGCCCGTAGTGATCCTGGTGCATGCCTCGCTACGCCTGCGCAACCTCAAGAACAAGATAGAGAACAAGATTGAGAGCATTGGTCTCAAGCGGACGCCAATGGGGCTGCTACTGGAGGCGCTGGGACAAGAACAGGAGGCTGGATCCTAGGGCCCTGGGCTCTATACCCAAGACCTGGAGAATGCCACCCCCCCCCCCGCCCCGACCCATAACCAGGATTCAAAGCACTTTCCCACCCCTTAAAATAGGAGCCCCTTGTCCAGTTCAAAAAGCAGGGCATCTGTAACTACCCCCCTGCCCCAGTCCCCAGATCCAAAACTGGGATAACCCTCATACCCAGTCCCCATTACCCAGGGGACCAGAGTCTTCCCCAGCCCTGAACCTGGGATGCAGAGCCCACCCACATCCAGCCCAAAACTGGGGCTTGAAGACCTGAGTATACATGGTCGACCTCAAACGAGACAGAGACACTCCCCCAACCCCAATCTGGGACCCACTTGTCTCCCATGCTCAGCCCCAAGGCTGGGATGTGGGACCGAGGCATTCTCAAATCTTGAACCTTAGACCAAGGTTTTTCCATGCCACACCCCAGCTTTGAACCCAGGCGAAAGCATTGCCAAATCTTGACCCTAGGACCTGAGTTTTCAGTCCCCCTCTGGGTGGAAATCAGGTATCCTGACCTTGTTGAACCCTTGGTCCCAAGTAACCCCACTCACCAGTCCCATTTGCCTCCCTCCAGCTCTGCTTAGAGATTATGCCTCTCATCCTCTGCCAAAGTTCCACAGTGGTGAGGACCATGGGGGTGAGGGTAGCCCCAACTCGGAATGAAGCATATGTATCGGTGTTGCTGCAGCAATAAAGGCTGTTACATGGCTCAAGCCAATTGGGCCTCCTGGATAAAGACTGCACATTTCAATGGCCCTAGTGGCCTTCTGCTTTTCAATTCTGTTGGACTCTTTCCAACTGGGTCTGTCTGTCAAGTATGCGGGTTGACAGGGTGAGCTCTCCTGGGAATCTGTTAGCTCCGCAGTGGCATTAATGCACAGGTAGTTGACGGCATGCAGTGTTCCCGTTATCTTTACTATTACTAAGGGCCCCTGTTCAGGGATGGCCAGAAATCTGACCATAGATTGGCAAAAAAAAAGTTGCCCCACATCACAAAGCAAGTCAAGTCAAAGTGGTTGACATTATCACAGGCTAGTCCCACGGTATTATATTTTTCATAGCATGGCGTTAAAAGAATTATTTGGTCTTAACTACGGGTGTGAGTCCCAAGACAAGGCAGGAAGAAGAGCAACACATGGGTTCAGTTTACACATTTATTCTAGAAATCCCCTTCCAGTGTGGGTAGTGTTGGGTCCAAGGTCCGTTGGTACAAAAGAAAAGTTTAACACCAAGTAAAGGGGGTTTTGGGGACTCCCCCCAGCTCCAGACAGTCACAGACAGGTATCATAGAAAACACAGCTTGTGTAGATTTGTTTAAAAAGTGGTGGATGGAAGGAAAGCCAAGGAAGACGTGACGCAGCCTGTGGCTAGGCATCACCTGAGGATTTTACTGGCATCTACCAAGTTCCACCACGGCAGCATCTAGGACACAACACATCCAAGGGCTCTGTCCTTGGGCCCTCCTGCAGGGCCTCCAGAGTGGGGATAGTTAGGGTACAGGCTGCCGCCAAAGGCTGGGCCATCTCACCCTGGAAGCAGAGGAAGTGGGCACAGACAGGCAGAGACAGGGACTGGGGCTCCTTCTGGCACCCCTGGAATGGGGAAATGAACCCAAGCCCCCCACCCAGACTCCAGTCCTTCCAAACGTGGGCAGAGAGCTCCCCAACAAGTGCCCTGGCCGGGGGGGGTGGTGGCAGGGAGTTCTGTTCCCATCAGAGCCCCTAGCTTCCCCAAACAGGGCCCTGCAACTCTATGTGGTCCACTTTGTGGAGGGGGGTTCCTGAATGGAACAGGCTGGGCATAGGACAGGAATGAACCCAACCAGATGAGATCACAGTTTCCCTTTTATAAAACATCTAGTGTTGGGGAAAGACAGTGAAAACCTAAATCACGACTGTAAACAGAAATGGAGGAGGCTTGGAGCCCCGATTACACCATCCCCCTCTTTTAGACTGTGAGGGCCCCCAGTTCCCAGCACAGTATGAGAGGAGAAGCAGGGCATCACACTCCTTCATGGGCCTACGGGGAGCCAGGGGCCTTGGAAGATCAGGTTGGCGCCTCCCCGCCCAGGACCAAGAGCAACCACACTCTAGGGCTCAGCGAGGTCAGCTGTGTGCTCTCCAGACTGGAGTCATGTCCAGGCCAACAAGGAGCATATCAGAAGGGGTCAGACCAGTGTCCCCGGGGTCTGAGGGTCAGAACTGGAGGACTGCTCCCCCTCTAGCGTCAGGTCACTTAACCGAGCGCTCAGCTCCTGGGGGTACAGGAAGTCCACGTAGTATCTTTAGAAGGGGCAGCAGGAATCCGGAGGACAGGGTGGAAAGACAAAGAGAGGAAAAGACGCACAAGACACAGAAAGAGAGAGGAAAAGAGGCTCGTTAAAGAGGTGGAGGGAGGCACAGGACAGCACCTTGAGGCTCAAAAGTGTGGGGCGTGGTGAAAAGAGGAAGAGAAAGATGAGGGCACAGGATGTCCCTTCCTCCCAGCACCCTGGTTCCAAGGTTCATTTTCAGCTGACATGCACTCATTGTTAAAATATTAAAATTCATCTATGTCTTGGTAAAGAACTGCTGCTACCAGGGCCCAAAATACCCCTCCACCAATACCCCACGGAGTAATGTAGGCCAGGCAGGGCCCAGCAACCCTGTGCCAAGGCTGTAGCTAGCACTCACGGTTCACATCAATTAGCTCTTACGACTACCTGCCCCTTAGCTCGGAGCCCTTTGCTGTCTACCTCAAGAGACCCCTACCCATCAGTAAAAGCACCCCCCATACCTGCTGGAAACAGGGGGCGCCGTGAAACTCCTCGAGTGCGGGAGGGGTGCCTGGCTGGGGGTCCCATACAGCGCCTGGCCCACCTCATAGCAGCGGGAATGGAGCAAGGGTGGGTGTTGTGGGCCTATGTGGGAGAGCACAGGCCGACGCTGGGGCACCGCAGCCACTCCCGAGTTCCGGATGTACCAGTCCCGGAGACCCTCCAGGGCAAGGTTCTTGTGGCCACTGCGCTCGCCAGGCGGAGGGATACGGGTGGATGGAGGCATCCATAGCAGAGGGTTTGGATGCACCTCTGGACCCTCTGCAGCCTCCAAGGGCAGGCCACAGGGCTTGGTGCGGGTGGCACGGGTGTGGGGATCCTTGCTGCGAAGGAGGGGGCTGCTGCCGTCAGCTGCATACACAGGTGGTGGGCCTGGGAACATGGTGAGGAGCCCATCCCGGCGGGAGAAGGGTCCTGGGACCTCAGCTGTAGGCAGCAGCTCCCCCCAGCCTGGCCCACCAATACTGCGGGGCAGGCCCCGGTCCAGGGAATAGTCCAAGAGGAAGTCCCCACACACAGGTGGGAGCCGGGGGGGCCCACGGGAGGCAGGGGCAGCTGAGCTGGGCCGGGCAGCCCGGGGAGGGTCTGGGGGGCCAGCTGTGCGGGAGGAGAAGGCAGGGGCCGGCTGGGGGCGCTCATACAGCACCTCACTGCTCTTGCAGACCGGGGGACCAGTGGCAGGGGGAACCAGAGGTGCAGGTGGGGAGCCAGCTCCCCCTGCAGCTGCCCGGTCCACTAGCAGGGCCTCAGAGCTGTTGCTGCGACGGGTGCGAGCTGCGAAGAGTGAGGCGCGGTCTGAGACCGGGTCCGTCCGGGGAAAGCCCATCTGGGAGTCCTGGCTGCCCGACCACTGGCGAGAATGGAGACCTTCGGGTCTGGTGGAGTGGAGGTGGGGGCAATGGGAGAAAAAGGTCAGGAATGTCGAGCAAATGTGCTGAGTGCCCTGGATCCACCCCATCCATACCTCTCTCTGAGCCTTCACTTCCTCATCCCCCAGATGGACCCAGGATTAGACATTTGTGCGTATACGTGTGTTAGGTAGAGGTATGTACAGGGCAGCAGAGGTTCTACCCCAGACTTGGGGGCAGAGGGATTAAAAATGCATGGGGAGCCTGCAGCTGTTAGTTCCCAGGGAGGTGTCAGTGTGTGTAGGGCTAGAGAGGAAAGGCTGGCAGGAGAAGGCCCAGAAGAGGGCTCTTCCAAACAAACCTGACCAGCGCCCCCTGCTATGGCACTTCTTATGGCTCCCCACCTCCTCCACAATGAGGTGGCCCTTCCTAATTCTCTGCCCCCCCCCATTTGTATGGACCATCCAAAACTATCATTCCAGTAGCCATCAACACAGAATATAAGTGCCATGAGGACGAAGACTGTTTTGGTCATAGCTTAAGAAAAGCAGGCACTAGTATTTAAGAAACAATAGAGGATAGTGGTTAAAAGCAAGGATTCTAGAGTCAAACTTGTCTGGGTTCAAATACCGGGTCTTTGGTTTACTAACAAGTCACTTCTCTGTGCCTCAATTTCCTCATCTATAAAATGGGAATAACAATAGCACCTCCTCCTAGGGATCTTGCAATGATTAAATGAGTTGATACCCTGTAAAGCACTGATCTATAGCAGATACTTAGTACACAGTACGTGTTAACCAGAACTTAATTATGCCCACAGCATCTTTCAAAGGCAGATATTATTATGCCCATTTCATAAATGAGGAGACCAAGATTCAGAGAAGGGAAATGACTTGTCCAAAACGCACAGAAAAGCCCATACTCAATCATTACGGCTTCTGCCCCAAATACCCACTCCCTCCTTCTCTACCAAGCAACTCCTATTCGCCTTTCAAAGCCCAGCCTCTCATATCCCGCACCCTTTGGTAATGCTCTCCCAGTTAGAACTAACGATTCCCTCCTCTGATCCTCAAACACACCCCACAAATTCCCTTACTTGCACAGCTGGGGGCCAGTGCCCCGGGTGAGGACAGGGGTGGCAGGCACACTTCGCCCCTCAAAACTGGAGGCACTCCTGGGCAGCGAGCGTGTGGGGCTAGAGAGAGAGGGGCAGGCTCAGGGAGGGGTCCCCATTAGAGACAGTGCCAACCGGCAGGTCTTTCTGCCAGCCGAGGTTCAGGACCCTACTCCTGGCTCATGGAGAAAGGAGGGAAGGGTCTTATCCGCACCTGGTGGGGCTGGCCACAGAGTTCCGTCGGCTCTTCAGGTCCCCATAAAGGTCTGACGGGGGTGGTTTCCATGGGGTTCGCCGCTCCGGGCTGCCCCCAGATACTGCCCGCAGCTGGTCCCAGGTCTTGGGTGGTGAGGGGCGCTCAGCCAGAGGGAAGCAGCCACGGGGCTCCTCTGGGTGGAAGGGAGAAAGAGGGGGGAAATTCAACGAGAGGGGGTCCACCAGGTTGTGGGCAAAGCAAAGGGTAGGACTTGGGAGGCAGGGAGGGGAAGAGGGTTGGGCAGGGCTGAGAAAGGCTAAAGTGAAGAGAGGAGCCCCACTGGAGGATGCGCCGTGGCTAAGGAGAAGCTGGAGAGGGAGGGGAGGGACTGAGCATCAAGGATGGGGGGGTTGGGTGACAGGGGTCCTCACCATTATCATGGCTAGCCCCAGACTCTGAGAGGGAGCTGCTCTCCGAGTGCAGAACTACATCATCTACAGGCAAGAAGGGAGAGACCCCAGCCCATCCATACCAGGCCGAGGGTCATCCCCTTATACCACTCGTAGGTCTCCTCCACACCCTCTGTACCCTCTCCAAGAATCCACCTTTACTTGAATCCCAGACCACCAGAGACTTGACTCTGAACTTTCTTGGGGCCTATGGGTCAGTTCCCAACGGCCCCAACCTTGCCTGGAGCCAGTTTATCACCACCCCTTAAGTTCAGCCTGCTGCCCACTTTTCACTGGCTCTTCCCCCGCCCCAT